CATTTGGTAAACCAAACTTTCTCTACCTTGTTCTGCATCTCTAGGAATGTCTTGGCTACTGTGGGCTATTGAATTTTCCATGTATATTTTAAAATAGGCTTGTCAAGCTCAATAAAATGTTTCAACTCAATTTTGATTGGGACTTTGTTAACTTGTAGATCAGCTGGGGAGATTCAACATCTTTATAATATTGAGCCTTACTATGCACGAACACGTCATAATCCTCATTTATTTGTTTCTTTATGTTTTTCTGGCACATCTTTTATTAAATGTAATTAATTGTAGAGAAGCCATTTTATTCACAGTTACTGATGAAGAAGCTGATGTGGAGAGCAGTTAATGGACTTCTTTTAGTTTTCTTTAAGCTAGAAAATGAATAGGGCTCTAACCCAATTCCTAATCCGTAGCTTCTTTCTTCACTCCATTGTACCTCATTTAATTAGAAACATGAGATTTGGATATAGCATGGATCATATCTACCAAGCCATAATAGTTAGACATACTTAAAATGAGATAAGTTATATTTTGTTCCATGGGTACACCTGCCTAACAGCTCTCATGCAGTGAATGTTCTATTTTGGAGAAGTAGATCCTCCTGGACATCAATAATATGCTCATTTATGAAAGATAACATACAAGATTGGAAACCCCATCTCCTCTATGTCTTGCGCTCCTCGTTTGTTTATGGGAAAGTCTTTAGATCATTTACAATACAATCTTTTTTCTTTTTCTGTCAGCCTTTAAGGGGGAGAAAATAGACATATTTGTCAGCAAGAAGAGCAGTTCCTGCACTAAGGATGGCTTGAGTTTTTCGGCCAGTGTTTACAAAGCGAGCTTCTGTTCACACTAATCACGGCTAATGTCCCCTTGTTGATGAGCAATAATCCTGGCATGTGGACACAGCTGGAGATCTCATTTACCTGCCAACTCCAGAGCTGCTTAGCTATAATGACAGATGGAAAATCAACTGCGTTTCATTTATGAATAAGATATAGAGAGTATATGAGCTTTTGAGAATACAAGCTGCCCTCATTCCAGGATGAGGTCACTGATGGTAACTAAAAAATAGATATAATGGAGATATAAAATTATATACAAGAATAAAAACTGGTGGCAGCCATTTCCACCTTTGGGAGGGAGTAATGGCATACTGTATATCAGTGGGAAACAGAGCTCTAAGTGGCTTTGTACAATTTCAAGGGCTGGAAGTCAGGGGAGCCCAAGAGTGCAAGGACTGGCTTATGTAGTAGCAGGAGACATGGAACTCTGGAGAGAGCCTGGAGCTCAGCCACCCCTGGGAGAGGCATGCTGAGGAAGGTGGTGGGCAAGGGCGGTGCTGCTGTGGAGGGAACAGGCGAGCTGTGGGAGGTAAGACAGTAAGAGTGAGTGCTCAGAGGGACAGGCAGAGAGGAGTATGTCAGACCCACGGAACTGGCAGAAATCACAAGACAGGGATTTACACCAATCTGATTTGTCTCAAAGTACAGGAAGACCTCGGCTACCTCCACAAAATTGGTCTCCACGCTGCCAGTCATGACTCAGCCTTTAGATTTTAAATATATCAAAACAAAACCTTCAGGAGATGAGGTAGGAATAGCTCTCTGAAGGCAGAGCTCTGGAGGGAGTGCCCTGGAGGGGAAGCCACACTCAAGACCCTGAGTTTGTGTTTTTAATTTTTAGAAAGTCTTGCCTTTATGTGTGCATTCGAATACCGGTTGTGTCACGTGCTACCTGTGAAAACAAGCAAACTGCTTAACCTTTGAGCCTGCTGTCTGTCTGTGAGAGACAGCTAATAACACCTGGAACTGCTGTGTATTAATCCATTTCCTGTTTAGGGAAAAAAAAGTGCATCTCACTGCCAGTGCAGTATTCTCAAACGGGAGATGGGTTAAATGGGTAATGCGCACTGG